ATATATATATATATATATATATATATATATATATACTGTTTATATATATATACACATTTTAAGGATTGGCGTCTTTGTAGAAAAAAAACAACAGAAAACTGCTCAAAATTCCCAGATTGGAACAGGAACAAACTCTATATCAGCCTACTATAAAAATGAAAAACTGACATGAAAGTGTAATGACCTAAAATGGTTACTTTTAAATGTAATCATTTGTGTTCAATGACTGTATGTACTTTGGGAGCATTGAGCCATGGTTAGATAGAACATGAATGATGGAGGTTGCCATTTTTCTCTGCACATTGTGTTTGACAGCGTTATCTCTTTGATCATTATGAACTGAACTGCCCACTGGGATCTGCTCCAGGCTAATGTAGTGGAAAAAGATGAGGCTGGGGGAGCATTTATGAGGCCGTTTTCATGTACCTCGGGAGCCATCCAGAAGGGAGTTCCTACTGAGGTGTTTCTCCTCAGACGGGTATTTGTCAGCTGGGCTGAAACACCTGCAGGGAAGAAAATACACACTTCAGTCATCTTAGCCTCAAGGCTCGGTGCAGAATATGCATTGCATCTGTCTATTTATGTGTTTTGTTTCTTACAAAGCTAAGAGCTGCAGATGAAAGTGATGATTTGTCACAATGGTTACAGAAAAAAAGAGCATGCTGCTGAAGTGTTACAAGGAAGCTTTTAAATCTGCCGTGTATTGTTATAATAGATTTGTTACTATAGTGGCAAGCAAACAAAATAAACTGTACATACAGAAAGAAACATTAAAATGATTGATTACTTTGAGTTACAAATTTCTTTCTGGCTGCAGATGACTTTGTTGGACATCTCAAGAACAACATTTGAATATAATGTAAATGTAAACAGCCCTGGAAGGCTGCAGATACTCCACCATCTTGCAAGAAAAGACGTATCTTAAACTGTCAGTTTAGATATTAGAAAATGATGTAAGCATCTGTGACAGAAACTGAGAGGTAGGGAAGGGTCCTACATCCTTATTTGTGGCATAAATATCCTAGAACAGATTATGCTGACTCACAGATGTGATTTCGGTCCAAATCAGTGTCAGACCATGTTGGGATATGTCCCATGGCCAACTCTTGCTGAAGAAAGAGTAAAACCCAGAAACAAGCCCAGTTTCCAGAAAAATTAACTGCTGACTCATTGAAGGTAGCGTAGGTGGGACACTATACTGCTGCAGGAGTAAATAATGGAAAAAAGGGACTTGGTTAAAGCTATTTTGCAAAAAAAGCCAAGTCATAACTGTGCAAAAGAATATTCTTAAGCTTGAAATAAATTTCTGTGCAAAACTTTTGGATTTGGACTTGTAGAACAAAAACATGGGAAATAAAAGATGTACCCACTGAAGATTTTTATGGTAAAATGCACTTAAAAGTTTCAGATAGAACTAATTATAATAGCCAATACAGATAACCTGAATTAATGTTGTGTTTTTCATATGACAATTTCATTTAAGTACAAAAGCTACCAAGAACAATGGGAAATATGCCAAAATATGACTGTCCCCTTTTTAAATCACCCTTGAATTGTGATCACCTCAGTTTCTGAACTGTAAAAGTAAGGAAGTAACTGATTACCTTTATGACTATATAAGGTAGGCCAAAAGTTCACCCCAGCTTTAAAGGAATTAATGAAGGAATGTGAAACATTCAGAGGGATCTTGGACAAAGTAGCCTTTGTGTATTATACCCCAAGAAAAAAGAAATTTCCAAGACTTTCTAACAAATATTTTTTTTTTCAAATGTCAAAAGAAAATTATAAAAAAGTACTGTTTTTTCCATCCCGCCAAAATTAAAAGTTTTGGTTTGATCAATTTTTGATGTCGTAAAAAAAAGACTCAAGTACTGTCATTCATAAAGGAAAATTACCTTTATTTATTTATTTATTCATTCATTTTTTAACAGTTTCCTGTCTGGCAATGTGGCAATGAGAATAATTGTCTTGATGCCAAAAAGAGCCCAACAGATTTTACTTTCACGAGTGGAGCAGTACGGCTATCGCCATAGTGTTCCGCTTCATTTATGCATGTAAATAGCTTCACTATAATTCATACAGGAAGTATTTCAGATTATATGGACACTGCAATGGGAAAGTAGAACAGGAAAGGAAAAAGGAGAAAAGATGAAAGAAAGCGGAGATAAAATGGAAACAACGATAAAACATCTTCAGTCTGCTTCATCACATGCAAAGAGATCTAAAAAGAACAGCACAGCCAACGGATATAGTATAATAGATACAACAAAATAGATCCTTGATACTATTGCTGAAGTATATGTAGTATTATTTAATATGACATGCGTACTGTGGTAGCTGAAGATAAAAATATGGGCTTTCTGTGTGGAAGTGAATCTCTAAGTACCTGGAACCAAGCACCTGTAGTTGTTTGTTAGAGTGCACTTGTGCATGTAAAGTTTATCCAAAGGGAAAATGCTCAATGCTCAAAAAACAACCTGCTTCTTTGTGAAAATGCCATTGCTCTCCAAAACCTAATATCTGGTTTAGCCTATCTTGAGATTTATTTGAGTTTCCCATACAGGACGAGAAAACAATGATATCAGATTCCAGATTTTTCTTCATCCTGACATAAAGGGGGCTTTAAGGAAATCAGAGCCTTTCAACACAACAGTTAAATGTGTTATGACATTATCCCGAAAAAATTATGATGATGATGAGTGCTACTGGCTCAGCAGATTTCTACTGTAAAACCTGATCTTGTGCACCTTCCAAATCACCACGACGGCACAGGATGGAAGGAAATCCAGAGCAAAACGTCTCAGTGAGAAACATCAGAGAGGATTATAATCGTGTGTAGGAGGGAATGTAAGCAGAAAGCTGACACATGCAAACCTCACAGGTTTGTCACTAACCCACCCCCCTTAAAAATCTGGAGACATTTACATCACCTAACATCAGTCAAGCCAAACTTATAAAAATATTAATCTGATTATCTTCACTCATTTATCAATCACTCCTAAGCCCGTTGCATGGACATATGATTAAGCTGGAGTAAGGGTATGCAAAACAACTCATGCTAAAGCTCCGTCTTTTTTCACTACATTAGCCAGGAGTGGAGCCTGGTAGGCCCCACTTAATAATCATTACAGAGATAAGACTGACAATTAAAATATTCATGAGAGAGCCATGAAGGAAGATCTCTCCTGATTCTTCCACTGCTCTTTTTGGTCCATCTTTTTGCTATTTAGTGCCTCCGTTGGTGATGAGTCACAGTAGGGGCTTTATCCCCTCAGCTGCTTAGTGAAGCATCCACCCCTCCACATGTAAAAAACCCACATTAATCCCAGCACGATGCAGAGCAGAGTAAGCCTCCAGTCGTTTGTCTTGAATCACAGTTTTCATCAATTTGCTTGTTGTGACAACTATCATTCTATCACCCAAACCGCTCCATCAATATATATTCACTGTATAAAAATAGTATAAATCAGACTAGAAATCATGTTTTAGATGAAAAATAAACTTTTGGAGAATTCAGTAAACTTATACGCTTACATAAACAAAGATTATTGACTGCAAACAATGGAAATGCATAGAGGATGGTTTAGTGCGTATCTCCTGATTGATTCACAAGATTCTGGTAAGTAGAGGCACAGCTGTATTATTATTAAGTCTTTTAAATCAACACCACAAACACACAGCTTCTGTATCAGAAATCACTGGAAATCTTAAACCATAAGTTATCAGAAAGATAATTTTGGACCTCGGCACATCTTGTTCATCCTTTGGTTTGGGTACATTTTTCAAAATGCCTGAGAAAATGAAATGGTCCTAGTTAGAGCTGGTAAAAGAGTGTTATTATTCACAAAGAAGTGACTCCTGCACCCAGAAGGAACATAAAAAAAGATCACAGTTGACAACGGAGGGGGAAAAAAAGACTCTTCTGGATGTATTTAAAATAGAGGTGTTTCACCAACATTTACAATGTTACATTTGAAGAATAGTACGGATGTAATGAAGAGGCTTTTTCATGTTGTGGGGGAGTTTTAATGCATCAGTTGCTATAAACAAAGTGAGTTTAAGTTGAAATATTAAGCTATATCTCAATACATCAGCCAGAAATGAGATGTCTTGGTTTAAATTGGTCTTCTCAATGGAGGACGACCCTATGCATTATTTACAAAGGAGTTCAAAGAGATAAAGTCAAGGCTTCAAAGTGGACATCACAAAGTCCTGATCTCAATCCCATAGAAGGAGTGTATACAGCAGAGAGGGGCTCAGCATGCGGAAGGTAGCTGACAACACGGAGACAGACACACCAGTTCTGTCAGGAAGAATGGGCCAAATTTACAGTGAATTATGGTAAGAAGTTAGTGACAAAACAGAAACAAATATTGGTTGTAGTTTTAAAGGCAATTCGGTTAAAAACGGATAGTTTGTAAACGTCAGTATTTTAAGTAAAGCATATCTGTCAATATCAAATATTATAGAAAATAGAAATAATGTAAGCATTGTTGCCTTAAACAGATGGATTAAACAGTCTGATTTGATGCCAGAGAGAGATCATGTAAATATATGGTTTTAGTTGTAAACTTAAGGTCTCTGCATGGTAGGACGATATTTTTTTGTAGCAGGGATTTAGATCACTATCCTGCAACCTTTGTCTTAATTTAAAGAAATAAAACTAGACATAATTACAAAAAAAGGAGACAAGTTGAGATTATAGCGTTAAATGCACAAAGCTCAAGCTACACAAACTTTGCAAGACTTCTTGGGTCCCAAATTACTTCACACCAACTCCTTAACTCTGCTGCTACATTTTTGGTGTTTAAGCCAAGCGATACATGAGTCTTTGAGCAAAGTGATGCACCTTACATATAAAAGGCAGTGGTAGCGGCATCTCTTCAGCAGAGAGTGCATGTTGAATGACGAGAAAGCATGATGTGCTAAATCAAACCTGGCACAGGACGTCTTCTATCAGAATGACACACAGCAGTTTGAATATATGGAAAAAAAAGTGTAATTCATTTAGCTTTCAAATAGTTCTGGTGAAACTCCTTTTCAGCACCCGAGCTTTCCTTTGGGTCACTGAACATTTTTTACATCTCGCCCTCAGTTAGCGAGTTTTACATAATGTGTTTCCTTTCAAACAAACTGCAGCCTATCACAACATCCCTGGAAGTTGCAAAGCATCTCGAGAGAGCATATGTAGTGATTTTGCCTAGGCACTCACTGGCCACTTTATTTGGAACGTTTTCTCAACTGCTTTCCAACAGAAATAGTGAGTCAACTGTTTGCATCTCAGAGATTCAATGTATTTCAGCATCCAGATGGACTGAAAAGGACTTGCTGAAATTTTAACCTGAGTATCAGAATGGGAAGGATAGACCATCTACGAACAAAATGTTTAACTTTAAAGGAAAAGGAGATAGACCACAGAAAAAGTATTTATATGGACAATAACAGGTTGGAAAAACATGCCTGGTTGGATAAAGATAATCAGTTCACTAATTAAATGGTGGCGTCACTTGTTTCCCTGCGTCATATCAATGATTCCCACTAGGAGTGCTGTAAATGTATAGGGGAAAGATTCAAACCTTAGATCTACAGGAACTCTGTGATGCTTGGCGAGTGTTTGAGTCAGCTTTAATGACATAGTAGGTTCAGTCTGTGCCTCACAAAGCATTCAGTGAGTTCTGCTAATATAATCGCTTTAAAAGGGGCTTTTAATTTGTGGCCTAGTCTGCCTCTGCAGCTTTGTTTTGCTCACTGTGGATGTGTGAAAAAAAACAAAAAACAAACAGCAGTTTTTTTCCTTGACGATTTAATGATTTTCTCACATTTTTTAGAACTTGCTTTATACCACAGCCTAAATGTGATTGTTGTCCTTTGTTATTTTTTGTCTTATAAAGCTGCTTTAGAAATAAACTTTATGTACGTCATACTTTACTAAGTTATGTTCCACTGAACTAAATAAAAATTCTCCATCAAGCAACAAATAGAAAGTTTTGAAGCATCCAATGCATTTTCTTATGAACAGCAATATATATATATATATATATATATATATATATATATATATATATATCATAGTTTTTTGTATTGGCCAAGTTCTGACATCTGATTTTGAAAATTACAAACTTTTTCCCTTTTCATACATATTACATTGTTTTCGCAATAGATTTAATCTGGGCTTTATTACGTCTTTAGTTCTCTGAGTTTTTTTTAAAACTGTTTACTCTATAAATCTTTATACAAACCCTTAACCCTTATTTATTGTGTTTTTCAAATAGCTCTTTTCAAACAGACATACCGATAGCCGCCATGCCCTTCTAGTCTTTTCATATTTGGTCTCCTAATTAAATACTAAGGAAAATATATAGTTATAAATATTTTTTAAAAACATTTTAAAAGTGTTACACATGTTTACATTCAGCACCCTCACCCTTAAACATCTAAATAGAATCCAACCCAACCAATGGCCCTTAGAAGTCTGGCAATTAGTACATTATTTAGTCTAAGTATAAGTTGTCCTGTTCTAATAAGTCCTCTGGGGTTTATAAAATAAAACATAGCAAAGATACAACATGTCAAGAGATTTAAGCCTGAATAGGTTTCAAGACGACATGTCAGTCCATCAGCAAAGATCACAGTGCAACACAAATATGTATGCGACACGACGAACATCTGGAAGGTGAGTTTCTGGTCAGATGAAACTACAGTAAACTGGAAAATTATTTCTCCTTAAACATGCCTATCCCTTCAAATACACCCGGTGATGGCAGCATAATGCTCAGGGACAAGAAAACTGGCCAGATGTAGTGACAAGACAAACCTTGATTTGTGAAAAAACTGGATAGAAACAGTTAATGGGAGTGTGAGTGAAAGATGAAAAACCTGATTAGCCTGTTTTTAATCCTTCAAAACTGTGAGCTGGTGTCATTAAAGGAATTTAAAAGTTATCCAATTCAGTCACCCAACTATAGCTGTTCCCATTATTTTTATTTTAGGTGTTTGGAAAGGTTAAGCCCAAATGCACTCCTGGAGGTTAAAAACCAAAGCGGCAGTAATATTTGTGGTTCACCGTGAAGCCAAAGAGTCCTGACATTAGCTGAATTGTTTGGACTAGATCGTAGACTAACTAAAATTTAAGAAATGTTTAAAAATCAAATAAAAAATGAAATGCTGTCCCTTTAATAAAATATCAACGATTAAACATTATCTACGAAGTTATACTGTTCCAAAGCTCTGCAATAAACAGTGAGAGGAAAACAGGTACGATGGTCATGCTGAGCATTAGTGAATCCATTAAAGGCCCCTCTACTCCTCTTTATATAAGAGCTGCACACTCTGAGCTTCAAGAAAAGGCTTTTAAGAGAAGCCCCACCATTAGCAGACAAAATGCAAACCTACACGCAAGTTGAACGAGGTGGTGGGGTGGATTTTATTTGTAATGAAAACAGGCAGCTGTTTTTATTTTCCCTTTACAGCGCCTGAAGAAAACTAGGGGTGAGTCATCGCCTGTAAATAGTCAGAATCACTTTGCCTATCATGAGCTCTTCAGTTTGGTTGCCTCATTTGGTTAAGAAAGCTGAAAAAGCAAATGAGCGAAAGCACAGGAAGAATAGGTGCCCTTTGCTGTCTGGGGAACAATAGCAAAGATAGGGTGTAATGAAAAGTGTAATCATCAGCCGTGCTGTCGAGCTGGTGTAATTTTGTTTCGTCCTCTCAAGGAAACTAATTGGCGGTGCAGTTTATTTGGCAGGCAGCTCTCAGTAATGGGTTTGACCCTCTTCTGTTAAACAGAGCTAGAACACAATTTGGGCGGATAAAAACCAAAAAGAAACATTGTGTTAAAGAATCTCTCTTCATACCAAAGTCCACGAGTTTGATCCCTCCATGCGTTGTCAGCAGGATGTTATTGCCTTTGACATCCCTGTGGATGGTTTTGTTGATATGCAGGTGCTGCAACCCCTGTGAATAAAAGAGGTTAACATTTTTTTTTTGTTTTCTTTCAAGCACCTGCCAATATAATTGCCCAATTTATACCCCTTTACAACCCCTCCCCACCATCATGTTCCAACCACCACCCTTACCATCAGAGCTTCATGTAGAATAAAGGCAATAATGGCTTCTTCCATTCTCTCTCCTCTTTTTAGCATGCCTTTGGCCAGGTCTGTCACAGAGCCACCATTGCAGAGCTGAAATCAGTAGAAAAAAATGCAACAAAGTCAAGAGGGACAAAAGAGCAAAAAACTCAACATGACTCAGCACAAACAGCTCAGCTTATGCAATATTTCCAATCTATACAGAAAATTTTCACATAAAGAAGCACTGAAGGATGAAACCAGAAGATTTCAGGGGGAGGAAGAGTAATTCTGTCAGTCTACAGAGGCTTATCCTCTAGTGTCAGCTTAGTGGGGAAATGTGCACGGTTTAATCTGAGCTTTAATGACTAAGGAGGGTAAACATGCAAATTGTCCTAAAATATACTGTGTGAAATCTTCTCAAAGTAAACATTTATATTAGAAAAACTGTAGGTAGAGCTCATTGATTATGTATATTATTATTTGCTCTCGTATTGATTTGTCTCGGGATGCTTTAAGCTGTTTAGTTCTAATGGTTAGATTACAGTTAATGTTAGTAAGCTCACCAAGATAAAAAAGTAATTGCATAAAACCAATATAAATGCAGAAATGTTACATGATGAGAATTTTATGGCCAATCTAATCACTGGAGAGGCAGTGATGACACTCGCTACAAAAAACGTAAGATAAGAAGCAGGCACTGCTAAGAACAGACTGGAAGGAAACCCTGAACCAGGAAAAGGTTAACAAGCAGCAGAGATGATTGATGCAACAGTTTGTGGAGATTCTTAATGTGTGGTGCTGCAGATACACTCCGTGCTCGTAATGGTTGGTTTCCATTTCTGAACCTGCTCTGCACCGGTGGGCTCGGTTCTGCATGACTCTGCACGGTTCAGCTAGTTTCTAAAAGAACTCAATATCATTAGAGTCATCATAAAAACCAAAAGGGTAACATGATGTGATTTGTAAGGGACACAAAACATAACACAAAAATGGAAGCAAAGACAAACCTGCTGCTCAGACTATGGCTCTTAGGGGGTATTCACCCCAGCTAGTCCTTTTGTTTGGTCTGGAACAAAGGATTATTTTTTTCTTTTAATTGAGGCAGATTGTTTTCAAATTTTAGTTTTTGTAAATTAACTATAAAAGTAATTTGTGATGATCTTAATATTAACAATCCAATGGATGGAAATGACTTGGAACACAGATGCAGAATTCGAGTAAAAACTATGCATAATCTAATATGCTGCTTGTAGCACCTCTGTTCTGCAGATTTGCACTATTAGAGCTGCAGAATCACTGTCAGTGTCCAGAAAACATCATTCAATGCAGTTTTGCCACATTCTACTTCCTTATCCTATCTTGTTTCAAAGCAGTTGGAGATCACCTTTCAGGTGGGTTTGGTCCAGATAGGATTTTTGTTCATATTCAAACCTGCAAATAAGGTCCAAATCAAGGGAGAAATCGAATCAGGTTAGTTTAAAGTGGGCAAATTTTGGAAGGTATGATTATGCCATTTATAATACTCAAAGTAAAAGGAGTACAGAAGAGCTGAAATCCACAGAGGGGTGAAAAACTGAAGCACAGGAGAGGATAAGATAATGATACCTGATGCTATAGCAGACATACACACAAAAATCCCAGTGAACAAACAATTAATGGCTGAAGAATAACAAGAGTGCTATGTATGTTTTTGCTACAAACCATCAATTTTTGTGTCTTAATGAGTTTCCCAGTGATGGGATTTTTTTCCCTTGCTTTGGTCAACTTGCAGTTGCAGTACAATTTCAAAATGTGTGAAATTATGTCTAGTTTTCTCTTCAACAAATAGCATCAAGCCCTGTAACAGCAAGGTAAAACTTTGAGTGAGTGGTACCCTAAAACGAAGAAGACCATTACATTGTAGGAGAAAACAGCTTAAAGACTATTTCTAACAAAAATGAATGGCAGAATCAGATCATTCTAATATAATCCATATAGCATAAAAGCCTCACATTTTGAATTGAAATAATGAAAGACATTGCATTTTGATGAGATTCTAACCTATTGTGGTGCACCTGTGTTACTGACAGATTTTTACTGCAATATAAAGTTCCTTGCAGCAAACAGGCGCCAAGTGTTTTTCCTTTGTGTGTTTGTAGATGTTTTCCTTTTTTTTTTTGATCTGCAACACTATATGGACTCTGCTGTCAATAAATATCTCTCTTGGAAAATTACAGTAAATTACCCTGTGGGTTGCCTTGGCAACAATAATAACCCCTAATTTGGGCCTGTCTTCAGGAGATGCCAAAGGTATAAGAGAAATAAAAACATCAAGGATGACAATGTGCCAGAAGCTTGAAAGAAGAGAGGGTTGATTTTATCCGTAAATGTCGCTCATACAAAGAGACGTTCACTAGGAGTGGTTTAGGAATCCCTTCTCTCTCATAAATAATACTAAAAAATGCTTATTATTATGGCGAATATTTCACTGTATTGTATATTTATACCCATTACTGCATGAGATGAATGACCACTCTCTTCTTTTCAGTAATTAGAACAATGATTCACTTTCTACTGCCTATCTGAGGCTGAGGTGTAAACCTTAAAAGATATTCATAAACATTCCTACAGTATCTTCAGTCACAACCATTGGGGAAATACAAATCAGCTCCCCACAACCTTTACTACTAGACTTGCATGTAGCTTGACTGCAGTTTTGAAAACCTTCTTCACTGTCACAGTTTTCCGATGCAGTCAGCACCTGCTATCCTATACTCACGTTTCTGAAGTATTATAAATTTCCTTGATCCTGTCAGAGTCTATTGCCTCTGAAAATGTGAAGTGCCAGTGAGAAGTTTAAATATGAGGATAAGGGTAATTCATTAGGGCTCACAAATGAAAATGTATTATGAATTTTCCCCTTTCTTATACGTATTCTAAATGTTGCAAACAGGTAAATATATGCAAATGCTTTAATAAGTAATATGGACCCTGACCAGGGGTCTCATTTATAACATATTGCATAGGACCAATACTAGAATGGTAGTTACACCAAAAAAAAATCTGACTTATAAGACACACAACCACAAAACAAGCAATTTCCCTTTTTTTTAAATCACAGCTGTGCTCAAAGTTTGCATGGAAGGCTCGACCTCAGTGGACTGCTTTCAACCATACAGTAAATGGTCCATGCAGTGCACTGCATTGATGTCATTGTTACAGACACATCCCACAGGGAGGAGGCCTAGGAGATGACCCAGGGAATGCTAGCTTAGGATCACCTCAGGCTGCCCCCAGCAGAGCTGGAGGAGCTGTCTGAGGAGAGGAGTGTGGAGTCTGCTGTGCCCGCAACTTGGTACCGGACAAAGAAGAAGACTAAGAGTATGAGTACGATAAGTGCTCTTTGGCCACCATTAGATAGCAACTGCTTCCCAAAGGTGATGCATTAAATCTGATTTCTTATTTATTGAATTACTATTCATTACTGCCCCCATGTCCACATTAAGGCGGTAGATGTTGGTCCCGGTAAAGACTTGTTTTTTTGGTTTGTTCCTAAAAACTTTTTTTTTTTATTTCCCACTAAATATGGTCCCATTTGAACAAGTAACTATACAATTATTCTGCTGACTGACAATAGCAAAGTGGAGATTTTTAGAAAATGTTTTTTCTATCACATTAGGTGCAAAGTTACACAGCTGCAAAAAAAAAGAATATTTTACCAGTTGTAAAATGTGACTGAGTTAGCGTGATGGCGTGGGAATGCTTTGATGCTGCAGGACTTGGAGAAAAGCAAGCAACGGAGCCATGTGTTTTGCAGGCTTTATCAGAACATCCTGAATGAAAACATCCAGTTGTCAGTTCATGACCTTAAGCTTCGACATCAGGAGAGTATTATGGTTTTGGAGTGGGCTTAACAAAGTCTGGAGTCAAATCAAATATTGTAGGGCTTCCTTAACTAGACCTTTTATACAAGGAGACCCTTCAAAGAAAATGTAACAATTCTGCAAAGACTAATTTCCACTTATGAAAGGTATGGTATGAAAGAAGTTAAGGTAGAAGTACCTACATTATATTTGACTGTTGGTAAAATTAGGAAAAGTTTCAGTGTGATATGGAAGTGAAATGCTTTTCACAGCACTGAATAAACTAACTGCTAATTTGATGTAATTTTGTCCCATTTTAGTTGTATCTTGTAAGAGTCTTTTTCATTATTTTTTCTCACTCTCTCCCAAACATTGAGTAGAACTTATAGGCCTAGCTTGTATGATAAACCTCAAACAGAAACATAGAGCCAAGGGCAACAGGTTCAGCTGATCTCTTCAAAAATATTTCTGTTTATTTGTTGCTGAGAGTCTCTGGCCTTGAATAAGAGCTGGCATAAGGCTTTAACACTTTACCACATCCATTTTCTACCCATCTATCAATTACACTCTCCATCAACAACCCAGAGGGTCCTTGTCAGATAGATAGTATGCATTTGAACCACTGTAAGAGTAGTTTAGTCACTTCTACTGTTCTCTATCAGACATGCAGGCAATCTGCAGTCCAGCATTGAATACTGCTGAGGGATTTCACAGAGAACTCAGGACTTCAACAATTAGCTGCAGCGTACATCAGCCCATATTAAGTGCCATCATAATTAAATTATCCAGGGCAGAAACAGAGATCCACATTAACTTGTACTGTGATGTTTTAAATGTTAGTGGAGATATAGGTTTGTGGTCTTTGCGGCAGAGCTCACCATTGGACATCAGAGCTGGAAATTAACATTCATCTGCATGCAGGTTACACACGCCACATTAGATGCTTCAGGGATTGTGTGATTTGAGTTATATTTAGTGACCTTTAAAACATTTCCAAAAGTGATCATGAAGACAATGAGATTTAAGTTTCATTTCAATTTCCGTCATAATCATGATCACTTTAAAAGTTTTATTAGATCTGATATTTAGACTGTGCCATGCTCGAGAAATTCATTTTAGATTTATTGATAATCAGATAAGGCTGAGATGTTAGATTTTGATCACATTAGCACGGGAACATTTTTAAATCTGTTTTGACAGGATGATCTCTAATGATTTACATTGATAGAAGGATGGAGCAATGCAGAGCATAAAGCTAAAATGCAAAGC